GGGCTGAATCTGAATTAGGTTAGAATGAACAAAATTGGTTTAGCTCGGAACAGACTGATATGATTAAAGTGAAATAAGTGCTGATTTTAAATGTACTTCGCTCATTTCCATGATGAATGTATGAGCATTCGCAAGCTTCGCTGCTTCTTCGATCCGTTGTTGCGATACGTTACTCAGGCCGTAGGCGATATTTTCACGCACCGAATAATTGAACAGAATTGGCTCCTGGCTTACCAGCGCCATTTGGCTTCGCAAATTTGGCAGGTTTATTTGACGAGTGTCCAAGTTGTTGTGCATCTGAAAAAACTCAAAAACACTTCTTCGCTTTTATAAAATTAATTGAAAACTGTAATTACTGTAAATAACTAGCTTGATTTTGGTTTGCCTTGATTTCTAAGCTGTAACTTTTCTCTTCTTTTAAAAACATATGACAAATTTTTTAAAAATAATGAATTAAAAGTTTGCTGTTTTGTCATGAAAACAGAAACAGTTTCTAAACATTTACTACAGCTGCTACGACTACCTGTACTTTAAAGCTGCCCATTTTTTCGCTTTTTTTTGCCTCTCTGTATGAGAGTTCTTTTTTTTTCGAGTTTTGTCACCCACTTTCAACTCAGCAATCAGAAACTAGGAAGTCCTATTTGTTGCACAACCTGTCTCATTGCTGCAGCAATTTCTGTCAGTCTAACTGTCAGCCTACTTTAATAATTCTTTTCATGTTTTCCATCATTCTTTTTTATACTTTTTTTAAACCTTAAATAACAAGTTTTAAACGCATTGCAAAAAAGCCATACAATTTTCCCATCCAACGGATCATAAAATCTTTCGATAAGCTGAACAACAGTTGATTTGCCGCAACCACTCGGACCAACCAATGCTACCGTTTTTCCTCTCAACGCTTTGATATTGAATCCTTTTAATATTAGTCGTCTCTGATTTACCGGGTATGCGAAAAGCACATCCACCATGCTGACATTGCCTTCTAGTTTCTAAAAAAAAAATTAGAAATTAGTTAAATATTTAATTCAAAAACTTATAGGTAATAAATGAGTCCGCTTTCTGTAATTAATACGGAGATCCAAACTCAATTTTAATTAAAACTGATGCACCAATTTTTGAAAGCCTGGTATTTAAAACTGACGTAATAAAATAGTAAATAATTTTGTTCAACTATTAGCTCATGATGTAGCTCTTAAAATCATTAAATTAAGATGAGGCACACAAATAGTTAAATCTAGATATTTAGGGAGGTTGTATGCTTTTTTCGGGTACTAAACGGAGCCAAAAAACAAAGGATTCAGAATTATGTAATTCAGTTACTCCACGAACAAAATTTGATTGGAGGTGGTAATTTGAAGCGTGCCTTTGATTTGTATCCCGGATATGCGCAGGAAAAAGATACAGCAGGAAAAGATATTTTCATTCGAGTAAATTTTCGCTTCAGTTTTCAGAACATTATAATGTTTTTCAAAACATTACCATATTTTATCACAGCTACTTTCTTTGAAGGTAGATTTCGTGTACGCTTAGTCATAAGGTCTCTTGGAACAATTAAACAAAATTTCTGTTCTCTTGCTAGTTTGGTTTTAAAGCTACAAAAATGCCAACTTTAACTCCCATTTGTTTGTATTTGAAGAACTATTTAACAAAAAGTGAATTTCTCAAAAAGAGCTAAAGTCCTATTCAATCAGGGAAAAATTCTGCCCTTTGAGATGACTTTGAGATTGAGATGAGATGTCTTATTGTGGAGAAATTCTGCTTTCGCCAAAAATTCTGTCTTCGCCAAAGGGAAGGGATTATACTGCATGACTAGGGGTCTCGGGACAGACGGGGAGAGGAGATGGAGGGCAAAAGTGAATAGGAGATATGTGGTTCCATTTTTTGTCCATTTCTGGGTACTCCGCAAATGGGTAAACTTGTAACCATTTTAAGCATACCAATTTCATTCCTTTGTCTGACAAGCTGTTAATCTTCGGTTTTTCATCCAGCATTTTAAAAATCAAACTGGCGCTCAACCGGGCTCGAACATATTCCGGAAAGTACATCCCGAATGCCAGCAAACTCATCGATGCTACATTTAGCGCTTCAACAACCCTGCAATACCGTAAGTGAAATTTCATTAAAGGTTTGTTAAGAAGTGGGCAAAAATGATTTTAAAAAGGAATGATGGGGCATCTCGGAAAAATCACTGATACAGGATAACCACAATGACAGATTTTGCAGTTCTGGTATTCGTGAAAATAATGGCGTGTCAGGTGACAAATTTTTTAAAGAAAACTACTCTTTAAATTATAATTTCAGTGTTCTGTGCGATACTGTATTTGTAAAGAATCGTGTATTGTAATATCGCGTATTGCGATATTGCAAAGAATCGTCAGTTTAAAGTCTCCAGGTGAAATAAAAAAACTCTACAGCGCGTTCAATACTTTTATATTAAAAGCAATAACGATGCGAATAGCGGTCATTATTTCTTTGAAATCGCTAATGTACTTGCAAATGATGCCCACATGATGCTCTGGAAAATACCAGGTTTGCACGGGGAAACCTGGTATTTCTCAGTTTGGGTTAGTACTCTTCTCCGTTTTCGTCTCCGAACCAGAATTACCGATCGCAGTACATTTTTATCAATGAACCTCGTTTACCACTCTCGCCCGCTACACCCCTACTTCTTATTGCTCCGGAAGACTGGCGATTTTACTCATACATTTGCCTAATGCAGCAGTCGAGGAATGGGCAAAACCATGAACTTAAAAAAAGCAAAAGTTTAATTCGCCACACATTATGCTGGGAATGCTAGTACGAGGAGCGCAATGATGCAGACTAGCGACCCATCTGTAAAGGCACGAATTTGAGTTGGATACTACTAACAGCAGAATGACATGAGGGACATGGCATGGTTGTTTCGGGGATATGGTCAGCAGCTCAGCGATAACAAGGACTCCCTATCAGTAGTCTAGCTGATCTTGATGATATCACTTTTTTTCGCTTATTATTGTCACCATCTGTTTGTCAACAGCAGTAAGAATCAAAACTCGCTCCCTACTGTGAACGGGACCCTTTTTTGAAAATTGTTGTGGGCCGGTAGGGAATCGAACCAATCTTCACATGCGGACATAATTTGCTGCCACTACACCACCAGCCCTCGCGGTCGGGTTAAGCCTGGAAACACATCTGCTGTGTATCTGCCTTTCAAGGCAACATACACCTTTCTTTTCTTCTTTGCCTCTCATAGGCAATCCCCATCTTTTTCTTTGTGGTGGCTTCTTAGCTGGCTTTTCGCGAATTTTCCACGACAATTCGTATTCACTAAGTGCGTGAGATGGAGGCACTCGGCTGAAATCCAAGTGATTGCAAGATCCAATAGCAACTACCAACCGCTATCAGATTTGATGGCGGCTTCCTCTTCCAGCGATTCTTTAGATACAAATAATGACTGGAATGAGCTAGTGCCAATCTCATCGAGAATGAACGAATCGTAAACGGAATGGTTCTGACAGCAATGGAGTTAAGCTTTTGATTTTCATTACAAGCGCACTGTAGCTTACTTACGTACCATACCCGCCACAGTAACGCATAGAAGTGAATAATTATAAAAAAAGTGTTTGGGATGGTTTTTTTTATAATGCACTGAAATTCGAACTGGTCCCGAAGAGTTAGCGCACATATATCAAGCAATTGGTAAGTATAAGCGGAAACATGCAGTACAGCGTCTAAAAATATCTGCACTCGCCTTGCAAGATCATCTTCTCGCGCCAACTGTCCAGAATATTTTGTTATTCTCGTTAACATACGCTGCCTTCCATCACTTTTTTTCCAACTTTTTCAGTACAGTGATTTTTTCATTAAAATGAAATTAAAAAAATTTTGCAAGAACATACTGGAAAACTTGATATGGGTCGGAATTTCTGGTTTTGATAAGCCATAAGCCATAACGGTATGCGGCAGCAAAATTGTAGAAGATAAAGCAGGCGTGGAGCGCAAACGAGAATCCCTGGACCATGCCACGTTGGAGGGCTTTTCGATGAGGCTTACGCATTTGCCGATTGAATGCATCGTAGAAGTACTGCTCACGTGTGAGATATTGCACTGTTTTATGCTGCTCGATAGCTTCAGTTGCAAGCTGCAATTAAGGTTTGGTCTTATACTTACGTCCCGTACATTTTATCAAAACCAAAATTCAAATCTCTTTCGAACTCGAGCTCTATTAGAAGCAGGAGCACTAAGAAAGCAAATGCCTGCAGTGAATAATCGCTGGCTTTCACCTTCGAGAGTTGCTTACAAGTTCGCTGATGAAGAGTTTGACTTCCTAGCAAATGTCTAAATATTTTAACGTGTTTAACACCAGCTTCAAGACTTTACTATGTGTAGGCCACTGACTTTTAGCGAACATTCATCCTGCTAGTGGAACCAGGGTGAATTGAGCCACTACGCGTATTTTCCACAAAATACGTGCCAAGATCTTGCGATTAGTTGAGAAAATTGATTTTTTGGGAATTCATTCATGTAGGGGTCCTCAAGTATAAAATGAGCTTTCTCCTGTGTTCTCCTCTCATGTGTGGTACATCAAATTTCCGTTTACAAAATTATTGTGACCCTCCCCAATCGGCAATCAGACAAGTTAGAAAGCTGAAATTTCGCGACAGCACCGAATACAATGCCACCGGCTCAAGCAATGTTCCTCTCGCCCCTGAATTAGGAAGAAACGAGCAATAATTTTTTTCAACGCGAGTGCACATATCAAACTGTGAAACAGTGACGGCCTGCTGTTGATGATACCAGTTAATGATCTTGCTGTTGCACGAAACCACACGAAAACGTGTGGTCGCACAGGTAGGAAACTCTGGCACAGGTGACTATTCTTATTTTTCCTCAATCATACTATTTCCCGAAGCGCGTTGTGTATTGCATATTTT